GGCACTCAGCCATCGGGTTGGAATGCCCACATACTATGAGTCCAATCATCATCGGGATGGAATACTCCCGACCCACAACCATCGGGTTGGATTGCCCACACTATGAGTCCAATCATCCTCGGGATGGAATACTCGCAGCCCACAACCATCGGGTTGGATTGCCCACATAACCAATCAAACATATGCACCTATATCATATAATCATATAACAGTCTACCAGACAACATACTAGGGCCCTATCATCCTTGGGATGGAATACCCTCAACTAGCATAACAAGCATGTGCATATATAACAGGTAAACTCCTACCAGCATACAGACAGTCAGACCTAACTATAGGTCACTAAACATAACCACATCTGATCTACCAGGAAACCGATCTAACTGATCATACTAACCCGTAACCATCCTATCTGCCAGGATACCGAGCTATCATATCACAATAGTAACTATCTCAAATAACAAATCAAAGGGCCGGCCTTGGTGCCTTAGACCCTTGAGTATAGTGAGGATAACTCACCTTGAAATGCTGAACTGAAGAGGTAAGATCAAATCCTCTGCTCACGGCCACGAACTCCACCACCTAACACTTGATGAAACCATAACTATAAGTTCCCAATTTACCAGAATACCCTTGGAAGTCAAACTGGTCAAGTCTTGGTCAAAGTCAAAGTCCTGGTCAAAGTCAACCTTCCTGGTTGACCCTACTCGCTGAGTCAACCTAGTGACTCGCCGAGTTCATGAACTCAGAAACCCCACAATTCGCGACTCGACTCGCCGAGTCACCCCAAGACTCGTCGAGCCCTTCAAACCGAGTCCTATCATGTCCAACTCACTGAGTCCACTCAACTCACTAATCCGCATTATAACTATATGAGCTAGGGTTTGCAACCCAACTCATCGAGTGCAAGAACAGACTCGCCGAGTTCACTTAAGTCATCCCCAAACAGACGATTTCAGTCCATTCCACTGCTTCCAACTCATAGATCTGGACTCCTAAGGCTAGTTTTACACGTAAAGTTTCCAACTTTACATGCATGCAAGGTGGTATATGCTCAACACAAGCTATAGAGAAGGTCCAAGACAAGAATACTCACATACATGCCAAAGGGCTAATACTTTATGCTCCCATGGACTCAAACAAGTCTAGATCTGAAGTTGCAACCCCAGATCTAGTCCCAAAACCCGAAATGGATTCCAACATGCTAAAAAGCCCCAAATCATCATCCATGAATAGATCTAGAAGGGAAAAGCTTAAGGTAACGACTTGTTACCTCAGAAATGTGCCCAAGATGAAGTAGATTCTGGATCTACACGAACTCCTTGATGCTAGCCTCTTGATCTACAAGTTTCCTTCACTATAATCCTCTTCCAAGCTTCAAATCATCAACACATGGAGGTTTACACGATTTAGGGTTTACTGACTCTCAAGGGGTAACAAAGAGGCTGAGGTGAGGACATAAGGTCCTTTAAATAGGGTGCAAACCCTAAAATTTAGGGTTTTCTCTTCCCAGCACTGACTCGTCGAGTCCCGCCGCCGACTCGACGAGTCGGATCACTTAACACGTGTCCAACACCCGTTTCGACTCGACGAGTTAAGATACCTACTCGTCGAGTCTACTCCCTTATTTACACAAAGCACCCCGAACTTATATTCCTGAACTTGGGATGTTACATTTAGACTATAAAAACGCTTGATTTGGTTAAAAATTGAATGAGTTACAAGCCCCGCAAGGAAGCGTGCCAAAGCAGACCGGTTCCAAAAATGAAAACCCGACAAAAACCGGACCCGGAACCGGAACCGGTAGAACCGCCGAGCCGGTTCGGTTCTTGATTTTGGCCGAAGCCGGTTCCCGGGTCGGGTCGGTTCCGGCCGGTTCGGTCCGTTTGCTCATGCCTACTATTATATGTGAAGTTGGGTCACCTAAATTTAAAATTTTTGTAACAAATTATATACACAAATAATTTAGGATATATCTTAAATATTTAAAAAAACCTACTTAATGTGTTTGGACAAAAAATAAGAAAAAAAACATAAACTATAGAGAACACAAGGCATATCATATTTTATTATATGAAGGAGTCCCACATAGACTACAAGAAGAAAACGGTGAAAAGGTTTTCCATTATAAATAATTGATTCATCTTTCACACTTTCACACCATAAACTTGTCGGCGTCTTGTTTAGACAGACTTACTCCAAGTATAAATTGATTTTAGTCAAAAAGAATAAAAAAGGATTGATTTCGGTCTTTTCACCATCAATTTTTATATATGTTGGACCTATTTTTTTTTATTTGAACTGACCCTGTGAATTTTCTCTTGAACCGGTCCAGTTACACTCAGTTAGAAAGCCTTCTATTCTAGACTCGGCATTGATTCAGGCTAGCAAATCTAATCGAATTCACCGATAGAAGTCGGCTAAAGCACATTTATTAAACGATCAAGCTCCAAGTTTAGCTTGATAGCTTGATCTCGAAACAAATTTCTAACTTGGCAACCATGAATAACTTATGACTAGCTCAGTTTACCGATACCCCTACTAATGTATCAATGTTAAGATGATTATCAGTTTGATCCGATTGGAATATAGTTACTTTCAGGGGAGGAGACAGTAGATGTCCCGGGGTGGCACAAGCAATCCCTCAAATTTTGCCGTCAAATGCAAAATTTAATGTATATTCGTCAAAATCTGTCACGAATCTATTGAAAATCCGTCACAAAGTCATAATAAATGTAAATTAGTGTAAATTTGTGGGTGAAATCCTTTTTAGTGATCTTTTAAAAAAGATTGTTCAACCATAATATTTATTTATGCGTCCGCCACCGTTACTTTCATATCCTTCTTTAAACTATAATATTATTTTATGTTTGAAACAATGTATGTAATGTTATGAAAAATTATTTTCCAAAGTTGTTGAATGATGTATGTCTTGACTCCAAAAAAATGCATCGCGTTGGACAAGGGCGAGTCTATACACATTTTAGGGGTGTTCATGGACAATTTTGGTTTGTGAAATCTTTTATAGTTTATATTATAAAATGTAAATGGATACCCATTGTAAAAGGTGTTCAGCAACAAAAAAACAGAAAATTTGATATCATTTTGATTTTTTTATCATTACTATTTTTTGACCTTTTCTCTTTAGACTGCGGAGAATCATCTTCAGATTTACATTGGTTTCCTAGATAAACAAACGTATATAATCATTTATGATTAGAAGTATAAATAAACATAAAACTAAAACTATAATTTTTCACTCCATTTAAAAAATCATAAAATCAATTATGAACACAACACATACCTTTATCATTTCTTTTCTTTGACATTTTCTCTTTACCTTCACGGTAAACAACTTCATATTCACGTTATGAACAAATATGAACATCATCAGTTATGAATAAAATATAGATGAAAATGCGACAAAAAATATAACATAAACCTCTTTGAACATCGATTTTTTGAACTGTACCTTTCAAAATATCACCACTTCTACCGTCTTCGAGATTGTTTTCATTTTTGAACTTTTTTCGAACATATTTTGTTTTGAAATCTTTATCTGTGAAAATATAAACAACAAATAAAAAAATCATCAAAATCAACTAAAAGTAACGAAAAAAAACTACTAAATCAAAACAACAATCATCATCATCAACAAAAAAACTACAATTAAAAAGTAAAACAAATATACATTATCAATAAAATGAAAAATTAATCGGATTCTAACCTTTCATTTCGACTAATGAAGACACGTTTTCGTTTAGATTTCCTTCTGAAGACATTACTGATTTTCCGACTTAATTTTCGCAAATAACAACCGAAATCTAGGGCTTAATGCGATAAAGAAACAAAAGAGGGTTTTCGTGAGTGTTTCGTGAGTGAAATTTTGAACGACAAAGGATGTAGGAGGAGGTTACAGACTATCGAAACCTTTCTGCAAAACTGATTTCATGTTTGCAAAATTACAATGTTAACCCTGAAATGGTTACTAACGACGTTAATTTAATCAGTTGCCTATATATTTACAATTATGTCACCGTCGGATTTTACCAATAAAGATCATTACATCAAAGGGCTATAAAACTATCTCACAATCTCTAATTTTTTCTTATCTCAAAGGAACCAACATCTCTCTCTCACCCCAACCTTACGGAGGTTGGGGGTGTTCTTTGGCAAGTCATTCATGACTTTGCCTATGCCAAATCATCTCATGGATGACTTACGTAAGTACGTAGCCTTAGGAGAAACCTTAAGCCTGTTTTGTCAAATGCATATTTTCACGTATCAACTTGTACAAATTATTTAGCATTTGGTCACTACCAAATTTATATCAACTTATGTCATTTACCAATATCCTAATCAAAGAAGTAACCTACTTATTTGCACGATTTGAATTTATAATTAAAAAAAAAAAAGTCATTCTGGTGTTTTGACTGATTTTTAACCGACTTTAACCAATTTTTTGACCGACTATGACCTTGACTAATTACCTTAAATCCTACTCAGTGAATGGCCGCCAAGCGTCTAGGCGGCAATTAATCAGTCTCGTGGGCCGATTTTTTCTCAACACTGGTTTAAACAAACCGAAGGACTTTAGAAACACAAGAAAAGAAAGACAACCTCCAAATAAGGGGTCTAATTTAATCAGAAACAAATCCACAAGCCTTTGAATAAAAAACATATGAAGATAATGTGTGAAATAAATTTTTGAGCATAGAAAAAACCATATAATCATTGCTATTTCATACATTGTAAATGTAGAGTTGAATATACAGCTATATGAAAGGTATCATTAACAACATATGATGATTAAGTTGTTACAAACTTTTTCCTGGTTGACTAAAAGTAGCTAGGTTGTTGCTTACACAATTTGGTATACTCATATACTCACATATTATCCAAAGTAACAATATTCAATACAGTGTAATAGAACAACAACAAGAATTGACATCAAAATCATCAATCACCATCACATTTTATTATTTAATGAAAATAACCCATCTCCACTTCCCATATAGCCAGACACCATAATGAAGACTGATGCATATATGAAACCCATGATGAGAATGCTCCAGCAGATAAGAAGAAACCTCACACAAAACCTCTTCTCCCTTATCACAGCAACACCTATTTGATAACCTAAGTAACCCAGCATTCCAATGTCCCAACAGTGAATAATAAACCTCATCAAAAAGTTCATGATGAGTATCATGAGGATATTGTGGTCAACGATCCACATAAGACACATGTGATGAATACCAATCACCTTAAAACAATATGCTACTAAAAAAGCCTTCTTTTCATCTTCCCCACTCATTCCAACAAACTTAACAGTTTGGGAAATACATTGGGCAATTACAACAGATGTGATGAACAATTGAAACTCATTACTCATTCTAAAGTTAGCAACTCCTCCTTGGGATCTTAGCAGAAAGACCACACTCATTACATGAATCAATGCAGGGGGCAATAGAGTCTTTTCCATCCTGCTTTATATATAATCCATTATATATACATCATCTAAAAGTGTCTAAATCTTGTTCTGAACTGTTATTTGTGAGTTAGTTCATGAATCAAAGATTCTGTAAAAGTTAGTATGAATAAGGTTGTAATTAATGTGGTAAGTGTAGACGAATTCAGAATTTCAACAAACATCAGTGTAATGTGTGTGTGTTCCTAAAGTCCCACAACAATCAATTATATAAAAAAAAACTCACAATTCTTATAAGATCAATCAAAGTCAAGCTAAGAATATGGAATTGGGAGGATGAAATTGTACCTGAATTTGATTTTTGATGATACAAAAACTTTGTTTCAATCCAATGTAATGTTCCAGTGAGAGTCAAACCTGCAAGATTTGAAAAGAAATGCAGGATTAAAACTTTTATCTACCAATATTGAGCAAAAATTATGTTACTGAGTGCATATCGACACCTACTGTACACGAAACAAAACGATGTAATCCCAAGTGACTGATTCACATTGCAAATAAGCTCCAATTCAGAATATCAAGCATAATCAGTTTCAAAATTCACGATATGTAAAGAAATCCTTGCCCAAAGATATAGATATAAGCATCGAGTAGCATCTCCAGTTATGGCTACAAATACAGTAATTCAGGAACCTAGGGTTTCGATTTCAAGAGAATCATACAAAAGTTGGTTTCACCTCTTTCAATCGCACACACAATTATGATCCTAAAATATAGAATGCATGTTAGGCATCGAACAGCACAAACGGCACAACCGATCGAACTTTGAACAAAGAAAGCATAGATAGATAATGTACGTAGTTGTTCGGGAGAGGTGAGAAAATCGGATTGAAACAAGGAATGATGTGATGTTAATAATGATACCTGGTAAGCTGGTGGTATCTAGAAAGTGAAGATTTCTGCTGGTGATCGATTTCAACAGATACGGTGCCTGCAAACCTTCAAACACTGCTACAAATTCAACAACAAATCGGACGAGTATCTATTTAGATGTAAGAAGAGGCATCAAGAGACAGAATTATGTTGCACATCGTGCTCGTGATCGAAGAATTTTCTGGAAAATAACAAGAAAACAAAGATGCGAAGTGAGTATGAAGCTTCGTCAATACCTGTTCACCGGCGACGAGAGTAGACAGACGACTGCCGACTGTATGTTGATCGGTGAAGCATCTTCTTACTAAACCCTTTTCTTCTTACTTAGTGAACCCCATTTTCCGAAAAGAAAAAGACAAACAAACAAAAAATGGCGTGAATTTGAAAGAGGCGGTTACGAGCAATATTTGAACCGTGATACCGAGTGTTCCCCAAAACTAGCTAGCTGTAGCGTTTTGTTTTGCGATGAACCATAGCATTTGGATTTAGAGCGTTTTGTTTAAACTAAACGCTAGAAGCTTGTAGTGCCGAACGAGACTTTTGAACGTTTTGTCAAACGCTAAAAACTAAAAGATCTTAAACCCATTATAATCACATTGTTTTAGGCGATAGTGTTATCTTGACTATGGTATTTTGAAATTTTATTCAAAAAAACCCTTGTAGTTTCTAATTTAATTACCAAAACAATGTGATTTACTATAGTGGGTTTAAAATGTTTTTTCTTAATTTTTTACTTTAAAAAATTCATATTAAGAATAGGATTTTACTTTAAAAATTTCATATTACCAATAGGATTCAAAGTATTAGCTTTTAATTGTAATACATATTTCTCCAAATTTATATTTTCTACAAAAATATTTATTTTCTTCATTTTTAAAATGTTATATTTCATACAAGATAACAATTCAAATGGTAGTGTAGAAAATCTATATTTCACAAACTCACAAAAAAAAGGCTTCATCTAATTCATTGTTTGCTAACCACTATATTGTTTCCACAACCACAACTACATGTCACTATTCTTTTTAATAAAGTTATGGGATAATGACTTGAGAGGGTAACATACTATTGCTTTTGGTCACTAAACTTTTTTTCGTGCTTTAATAGCCATTTAACTTGTTGATTCGTGTAAATTTTCCCCTTATGACCGATATTAGCCGGTTTCAACGGTTGAATTGGTATGAGGTGGCTTTTTTATCCTACGTGGCCAATGAGGTGGCATGTAGGCCCCGATTTTGCCTCCCCTCCTCATTAAAGTTAGGAGTGAAGTCTCATTTGGTCCTTAAATTCGATTAGGGCACGAAGTCTCATTAACCCCCGATTTTGTCTCCTTCAATCTTCAATCGGTCTCTATAATGGCTTCATCACAATGTCCCACTGATCAAAACTTCATTGTAGTGGATTTCCACTACAATGGAACGTTTGCAAACAACCGATTAGTATACTTTGATCCCGACAGAAAATCAATGCGAGATGTTGACTTCAGTGCATTTGAGTACGAGGAGTTCATGGAATTCCTTCACAAGCTCACCAGAAGTAGAAGCAAAGACATCTACTTTTGCCTTCCACAAGAGTCTTTAAGTCAGGGAATTCATACACTGGTGAATGACGGTGATTACAAAGAATTTTTGGATTTGGCTTATACAAATGAGAGGAGAATGAATATGTATGTGGACCACCAGAATGAACCAATCTTCGAATGGATTAAGGAAGAGGAAAATGAAGATCAAGACTATAACTGTGAAGAGGATGAAGACTCAGTCTTGTCGGACACTTATTATATTGACCATGAAGAAGATGATGATGAATATCCATTCCTAGCCAACAAAACCATGGGTGACAGGTTCTTAAACAAACTTTGTAACATCCGGATTCCCAGGTATCTTATTTTAAGTATTTATCTTGAGTTTTAAGGAGGGACGGCGAGTAGGCGCTCAGACTCGCCGAGTAGGATCGCGTATTTCCTGTCTGATTTAATGAAGGACTCGACGAGTCGATGCGTGGACTCGGCGAGTCCGCGCTGTAAATTGAAACCCTAATTCTCGGGGTCTGTGCCCTATTTAAAGGCCTTTATAGCCTCCATTGCGGCCACTTCACCCCTGAGAAACCCTAGAGAGAGAGAGAGCGTTTGTGGTGCAAGAGGAAGGCTAATTCACCATTTCTTGTGTGTTTTAGCAAAGGAGAAGTGGTTTCCAACAAGAGGAGGTCAAGGGAGCTGTGGATCCAGGGTTTTCAAGTTCAGATCTACACTATTGAGGTATCAAATCGAACTTCCTTTCTGTTTTGGGTTAAGATCTATGATTTAGGGTTTTCTATAACCTTTGAAGGCTTGGAAAAGTTGAGTTTATGGTCCCTTGCTGGGTTAGACCTCAGATCTGGACCCATAGAGGTCCAGAGAACCTTCCCCATTCTGCTTTATGGTTGTTTATGGAGGATTGGAGACTAGGTTGCCATTTTTAGAGTTATTTCTTCCATTTATGACTTGATGTGGGTTGCATGTACGTAAAGGTTGCACCTTTACGTGACATTTGAGCACTTGAAGGGTAGATCTGATAGTTAGGGAAGCAGATCTGACCTTAGAAGGTCATTTGAGTAAGAACATGGATGCAACTCGCCGAGTCCATAAGGGGACGCGACGAGTCGAGTCGGGGTTGCCCCGCGATTCGTGACAGGAGGAACCCGTCGAGTGGAAGGATGACTCGACGAGCCAAGAGAGGATAGAAGGATTCAGAGGACCCGCATGGACTCGCCGAGTCGCCCATGTGCACTCGACGAGTCGGGTCAAAGTTTGACCGTTGACTTTCGTTGACCTTAGGGTTATGGTCAAGACTGATTCAGGAGAGTTCAGGGAGGGGTAGAATGGCCTTCTACCCAATCTTTAGAGATGAGACTATGAGTGAGTATTGATCGGGGATGTTATTTGAATGATAGGAAGAGGCTAGGTCGGGACGTTGAGCACGTGAGTTATCCGACTTCATTGAGGTGAGTCTTCTCACTATACTGTACTTGGAAGGGTACCTATGTGTGACCGGAAGGTCTTATATGCTATGAGATGTATGAGTTGTATGTTGATGTGATATGTATGTGTTATGTATGTTATGTACGATAAGGATCGGAAGGTCAAGATGATAAGGACCGGAAGGTCAAGATGATATGGACCGGAAGGTCAAGAGGTTACGGACCGGAAGGTCGATACGGGTAGGACCGGAAGGTCTACCGGGATTTGGGACTGAAGTCCCCTGAGACACATGGATCGGAAGATCCTACGGAGTTATGGCCTGGAAAGGCGTATGTGTTATATGTGGTATTTTGGGGAACTCACTAAGCATTTATGCTTACAGATGTTGTGTTATGTGTTTCAGGTACTAGGGAGGATCGCGAGAAGGCGCCGGCATGATCCGTACACACTCATAGAGATTATGTTTTGAGATTCTGGGATTTGGGTGTTATGATGACAATGGATACAGTTTGTTGATATTGTTTTTGGATGATTGAAAATATGATTTAAAAATGAAAAATTGTTTTGAAAATTTACGTTGTTACAAGTTGGTATCAGAGCCTTGGTTTGAGGGATTCGGATGCACCTTCGGGCGTATCTGAACTCAAACTGAGGATTTCGGAAAGTTTTTCATAAAAAGGAACAATTTTTCTAACAGAGTAAAAGATTTTGAGAAAAGTAGAAAGGAGCAGTGTGTACGATCAGCCAGCGCCCGAACGGTGATTTTCCAAAATACCCTTATATTATGTGCTTTGAGATATGTTATGATATGCATGCTAGAGTAGGCTAGGTATTCATATTAGGACTAGAGTGGCCTGATTTGTGATGCCTTAGCCTAGGAAGGATTTTGCTGCTATATGATGCTTGAGAGCGAGTAGGTAGCAGTGAGGAGCTGAGGAGAGGTCTACCGAAGGGTAGCCTATACCAGTGAGATGTAGAGTGCTTGTGATCTGGGATCCAAGGAGGAGGACTTAGGGTGAATATTGATGCGGTATGGACGGTAGTATAGGGCCCGTACTACTGAAGACACCGGAGCAGTGCGCACTCTGAGTAAGAATCCTTAGGATACTAAGGAACAAGTAGGGTTGAGTTATCGAGTGCGAGTATGCTCGAGCAAGTCTCTGATATTATTATGTTGTATTTCAGAGACATCATGGTTGGGACACGCCACAGACCTGAGCCGAGCGGCGTGAGTGACGATGAGCTTCGTCAGATGATCCACGATGAGGTGACGACGGCGATTCGGGCTGAGATTCCGGAGATGTTTGGGTCTATCAAGACCACATTGATTGAGACTTTTGATGAGCGGTACGCAGTAATGACTGAGGCTGTGGATGCTGCAGCTACTGCAGCTGTGGCTGCTGCCAGGCCTCGGGGAGGTGACTCGTTGTTGCTTCGAGAGTTCAGCAACACGAAGCCACCAGAGTTTGACGGGAAGCAGGATCCGATCGCTGCGATGAGATGGATTTCTGATATCGAGGGATGCTTCTACACGTGTTCATGTCCGGAGCATCTGAGGGTACGGTTCGCGTTGAACCAGCTTCGCTTAGGAGCGAAGGACTGGTGGAAGTTCGTGACGGCGAGCTTCACTCTTACAGAGATTTCAGCGGTGACCTGGGAGAGGTTCACCACCATGTTCAGAGACGAGTATGTTCCCCCAGTGGAGAGGGAACGGTTGGTTCAGGAGTTCTTGACCCTCAAGCAGGGTACTGATTCAGTTACTGTGGTTACCAGGAAGTTTCATGAGAGGGCGATGTTCTGCCCTGAGCAGGTGTCTACTGAGCAGGCACGCATGAGCCGGTATTTGGGCGTTTTGAGGAGGGATATTCGGGAGTTCGTGTCGAACTCGACTTACCAGACATTTGCTGAGCTCCAGGAAAATGCCCGGAAGAGAGAGATTGAGTTGGAGACTTAGGCCAGGGAGGAGGCCGAGTCTCAGAGGATGGATCGGTGACCGGCACAGTCTCAACCGGCAGCCAAGCGGGCAAAGTCCGCTGATACGAGATCTGGAGGCCAGAAGGGCCGCACTTGTGGGAAGTGCGGAAAGGGACATGATGGGGTCTGTCGATCAGGTGCTTGCTACAAATGTGGCAAGGAGGGGCATATCGCCAAGGATTGCCCCAAGGGGTTTATGGTTTGCTTTCATTGCAACCAGACTGGCCATCGGAAGGCCAAGTGCCCGCAGTTACATCAGGGATCAGCACAGGGATCTGCACCAGCTGCTAGGGTTACCGAGGTTCGGCCAGCGAAGGCCGAGGCACCGAAGGCTCGCGGGAGAGTTTTTCAGTTGACAGCGGAGGAGGTCCGCGCAGCGCCCGATGTTGTGGCTGGTATGTATTCTTTATTTATTTATACTGAGTTGAGATATTGTGCTTATGTTATGATATGCGTAGGTACTTTTCTTGTGAGTTCTGTACCTGCCTTAGTGTTATTTGACTCGGGTGCGAGTCGATCATTCGTGTCGATAGCGTTTAGTCGGCACATCAGTAGTCGACGAGAGGCGTTGAGTCGACCTCTACGAGTTTCCATAGTTGACGAGCGAGCGGTGTATGCTACGGATGTGATTCGAAGATGTGTACTCGAGATCTTCGGTGTTGAGTTCTCGATAGATCTAGTCCCGATTGCAAAGGGGGACGTATGTGTCATAGTGGGCATAGATTGGTTGAGCCGATTAGGGGCTGTTGTAGACTGCGAGCGACAGTTGGTGGCGATACGAGACCCTAGTGGGGGAGTACTTACGGTGTACGGCGAGGGCACCCGATGTTGGTAAGCGTTTTGTTCGGCTGCCAGAGCGAGACAGAGTTTACAACAGGGTTGCAGCGGGTTTGTAGCCTATGTGATGGACACACAAGAGGTCTCTGGGAGGCCAAGTTCGATGGATGACGTTCCGATAGTGCGTGAGTTCCCGGATGTCTTTCCTGAGGAGTTGCCGGGTGTGCCTCCCGAGAGGCAGGTAGAGTTCCGCATCGATTTGGTTCCAGGGGCAGCGCCTATCGCCAAGGCGCCCTATCGCCTTGCGCCGCCAGAGATGCAGGAGTTATCCTCGCAGCTTCAGGAGCTGCTGAGGAAGGGGTTTATTAGACCGAGTAGTTCCCCTTGGGGAGCACCGATCCTTTTTGTCAAGAAAAAGGATGGTTCACACCGGATGTGTATTGATTACCGGGAGTTGAACAAGTTGACGGTCAAGAACCGTTACCCATTACCGAGGATCGACGATTTGTTCGATCAGTTGCAGGGAGTGTCTTGGTTCTCCA